CAGATTTGTTCATTTTTGATATTTTCGACTATTTTTGAAACCCGCAAGTCGGATTGTTTTTATAATCAGTATATATGTACCTCACGTGGTCCTCTCCCAGATTTGTTCTTTTAGTGACAATATCTTGGAATTTCCAATTTTTAGGAATATTTTTGTAATTTTTTTTTCCGAATTCTTTGAAGCCCAATTGTCTTTAAGTTGTGTTTTATACCAATCTCACATTTGTCAATTTTGTGACTAAATCGTTTGCTTTTTGCTTTTTTTGATAAAAAATTTATTTTTTCGACTTGATTGGTTTGGTACCAGTATATAGGTACCTCGGTGAACCTGTGTCAAATTTCGTGACGGTATCTACAAATTTCTAATGTTGATGAATATTATTTTTCGTTTTGTTTTTTTGTGTTATTTTCGACTTCTTTATTTTTGTTAATGTTTGATACTTGACTCATTTGCTATTGTGTACTGTGTTTCACGTCACGGTGTTTATATTGTCGTCTATGGGAAGTTTGAATTCAAGTATGACCAACGTAGGAAATATTGAATTCACGATCTTGAAATGACATGAATATTTATGTAATAGACCGCAGTTTGCACAAACATAAAAACGTATCTAAATCGTGTATAAATGCTGCCTATCTCCGTCTCTTCTGCGTTATAATTCTGCGAAAAATGTCCCACATCGTTATCGCGAAAGTCCTCAGAGAGTTACGATAAAGCGGTGACTTAGAGGGTCTTTACATAGCACATCATGTCGATTTCACATATAACTGAATTTATGTAAAACATTGAAATACAAGATAAATTCCAGCTTTCAAATTGTGAAACCTTTTTACCGGCAAGCAACATTAAGGCCATCATTACATTAAAAATAGCGATACAATATTACATCCAGGTATTCTGATCATAATTGCTAATTTATCTCAATTTTATTCTCAGTACAAATATAAGGCGCTGTATCCTGTGACCGCATTATTAAATATTATGTATTCAAATTATATACGCTAGCCCTACGCCAGGGATCACTGGAACAAATATCGTGTCAAATACCGCAAAGTTAACGTAGTTTAAGTGTAGGAAAGAGCAGGGGACTGAGGATGTAGTCGCGAAACGTCCAAATGTCCTATGGTGTTAGCTATTTACACATTAGCTGAAATACTAGGAAAGGTCAGGTTTCCTAAGCAACAAATCATTCTCTAATTTCCACCATCTGTTGACACTGACCAAACACAGGACAGGACTACACCTTCTCTACAACTTCACTGTTTAAAATAACTCTACTCTCTCAACAACACTCTGAAACGTTAATTTTACAGTAGGGAATTATGTTTCAATAACACCATGGCTTGTTTCTCATTATGCAATAAATCACCAGCTGTAACGCGATCGCTGATTGGCTACTCACACAGTCAATCATTGGCTGGTGTATAACTCACACACTTCAATAAAGTTCACCATATTGCCTATTGCATGAATGAACGTATATATTCAAACATGATACAGATCTAGCAAAAACTCAATGTGACACGCCTACATAGATTTTGTCAATAGGGACAGATCATTACAAACTGTGGGTGAGTGATGTCAGTATTGTAAAATATGCCACAGAGATCGATAATAGAATATTGTCAGCACCCTGCATTCTTGGGTAGAAAATTCCACCATGTAGAAAAGAAATTAGTACAAAACTAAGAGGAAAAAATATTTGCAACGATTCCCTGCCACCTAATAAGTATATAATGGTCGTCCCTAGTTGTCAGTTATGAACGCTGGTAAAAGTAGGTTCACTGAAAGCACGTGACCTTGGTATGAAACACACGTTGTCACCACACCCTTAGACTAGTATTACCCC